AAGGCATTTTATTCTATATCGCGTAAATCATTATTATTGCAATATGTATTGATATATGTCCTTAGAATGGGAGAACCGTGCGAGGGTATCAAGTGTTTCAAACTTGATAGTGAGAATCTATGAGCAACATATGTGGCCATTCTAGAAAAAGTCCATAGCCCTAGTATTATCTAAAGTAAGGGCACAGATAATACGGTAAGGCTATCATAGTGTTGAACGACCCTGTCGAAAGGCAGTGACTGATCTCACTTGTCAAGGTTGTTTGGTGACAACCTGGTGCAACACATGGGTGCTTGTTGTAGGCGAATACACTGTAGCAAGTTCACTAGACTGACCCACCAGAGGATTCCATATGGATGGTAACCCCAATGTCTATGGAACAAATCCTCTAACAAATGGTGGTGCATGTGATCCTTAGACTTGAGATCACCGGAGCGCCTTGTGCACCGATTGGTGTAATTTGAAACTAGCCTAACGTAGTTCTTTTCAGAGCTGTCAATACGGTGGTGATTGGCTGCATCAAGGAGTGTATCAAGACTATGGTGGATTGACAGAGGATTCATCACTCCCAAGTACGGGAGAAGTTATCTCACGGCGCAATTCAGTATATGGCAATGACATTAAAACTGTGGCCACAGTGGGATTGAGTTGTTGCTCTATCCAGTTTATAATACGAGTCATTGGTCCAGAAACTGAATACATAATATTGAGAGTAACCAAAGGTTGACACTATTTCTATGCCTTCGTCTCGTCGAGATAACGAATGATGAAAGGATCGAATTGCATGGTAACCATGTAACGCGCCACTTGAGGTATGTACTTAAGATTTGCTGTTTTGCTTAAATGTTTATTGATTCAGCTTTAATTGAGTTTGTATGTTGAGTTGGTTGAGTGTTTGCCTTGAAATTGTTTGAGATTTGAGGAATTTTAGATTTGCAGTCTTCGTCACGGCAACATTGGCTTTGAGTAAGGTGGTGTAGGCTCTGTCTTTCTTCGTCGGGGCAACGAAAGTTTCTTCGCCGCGGCGACGAGTCGACTAAAATGTGTATTGAGAGTTCTAGATATTTTTTCATAAGGGTTAAATGACCATTCTACCCCTAATTAGCAGGAAAAGTGGGGAGTAAAATGTAAGGAAATTTCATGGAGAATGGGTTAGTATGGGGGTGTGAGTGTAATGCATCAAAGGATATAGAGGGAATTTTCAAAGAAGATCAAGGGCAAAGTTGGGAAGTGTTGATTTTCTCATGAACTAAAAAAGGCTGAGTGTAATAAACCCTTCATTTCATTCTTCTCCACCACCATATCCATTCTCTCAATCTTCTCCATTTTGCTTTCAATTGTTCCAAGATTTCTAGAGGATTTAAGAGAGCTTTTGAGAAAGTAGTGCTAAACAAGAGAATAGAGTAGGTTGTGCGATGGGGAACCTGTGAGGAAGGGTAGAGTATTCCCGCATGTACGCCGCATTGAGAGAGCGGCATGAGTATAAGAGAGAGAAGTGGTGTAACCCGTGAGAGTACATGCGGATGAGGGCTATACCCGAGAGTACCCGAGAGATAGATTATATACTTGCATGGCCAAAGGTTCCGAATCCATGCATAACCGAGTCCGATCGGCTAGAATGAGTACAAGTCACGTAGAGTATGAGTGAGTCCCAGCCGTGCCTCCAGTCAGATGGGGTCGTGACTTACTAAAGAGAGTTAGTAGAAAAGAGTTACGAGAAAGAGAAGACAGAAAGATTATAAAGGAGAGAGTAAACGAGAATTGTAAGGAAATAATCAGAGAGAGAGAGTTACAGGGATAGATGAGTAGAGGATTTACTTACTGAGCCTTAGTTGTGCTCACACCGATGTTTTCTATGTTTTTGCAGGACCTAGGTGAGGACACAGTCGGATAGGAGTCGGCAAGCGAAGGGAAATGGCTACACTGTCCACCCTGCTGTTGGTGTTTTTTTTGTACATGATATAGCTTTTGTATAAATAATGTATATGTTTAATAAAAGAAAAAAATTTGGGCCCAACTTTTATGCTATTTTACATGTATTTTACTATGCATATTTTATAAGAATACGAGTAGAAAATAGTCGTTACATTTTTGGTATCACAGCAGAGATTTTGGGATTTGACAGTGTACCATTCTCGTCGCTACAATGTCTAAGAGTCGACTGTGTAAGTTAATTCTTTCCTTACGTTGAGTGTCCCCTTGAATTGATTAGTTATGGTTGTTTTGTAGATGAAACGTAGTAACAGGAGGAAAAGTAAGGGTGTGATGAATGAGGGAGAATCCTCCAACCAACCGGAACAAAGTCCCCCTACCCTTGATGAGACAAGGATTCGAACTATTGTACAACAGGTATTAGTAGAGAGTCAGGGGAGAGTTGTACAGGAGAGAACTGAGACCTCTAGTAGAGTACCACGCACAAGACAAGAGCGAGAAGAGCTAGTACCTCAGATAGTGTAGAGTCGAAATGATCCGATTCAAGGGCTTGCAAATCAGCATCAACCGCCAGAGTTTAGGGGTACTAGGGACCCGCTAGAGGCAGAAGAGTGGTTTAAGTCCGTAGAGCGGATGGCGACAATCTTTCCCATGAATGATAGAGAGAGGATCAGATATGCTAGTTTCCTTTTTCGGGGAGATGCCCGAATTTGGTGGGAACTAATGGAGGAGACTCATGACATGGCCTCTATGACTTGGGAAGAATTCAGGAGATTATTTGAGGCCGAGTATCGAACAGAAGATCGAGTGCATGAGAAAGTCCAAGAATTCATTAATTTGAAACAGGGGTCTAGTACAGTGAAGGAGTATTCAGTAAGATTCAACTCCCTTGCTCGCTTTGCACCCGGAATTGTGTATACTCCGGTGTTAAGGAGAGATAAGTTTGTGCAAGGGTTGAGATCAGATATTGCCCGAGATGTGATGACAGGAGCTAAGCCTCCTCATACCTACAGTGAGGCTTTGACGAGGGCTTTAAGGGCAAAAATTTATGTAAATAAGCACATTGCAGAAGGGTTATCATCATTGGTACCCAGTGAGCCAGTCACTACTTTACAGAGGGAGAGAGTAGATGCAACAAGAAACAGAGAAGTAAGGGTCAAGAAGAAGTTCCAACCAAGGAAGAATAGATGTGATTGGCAGAACAGGCGGCCCAGGACAGAAGGGTTTCCCCCTTGTGCTAAATGCGAGAGGAACCATGCAGGAGAGTGTTTGAGAGACATAAATGTATGTTACAGGTGTCGTCAGCTAGGGCATCTAAAGAGGGATTGTAAAGCTTCTCTCCCAGCTTCTCTTCCACCTGTAGCTCAACCTGCATGAGGTAATATTACCAGAGTTTTTACAGTGGCACAAGGTGAAGCCGAGGCCAGTCCGTCAGCCGTAACTGGTCAGTTATTTTTCCATGCTGCTTCTTTATATGCTTTAATTGATTTTGGGGCTACCCATTCTTTTGTATCATATAGGATGATAGAGAGATTAGGTTTGAAACCTATTAGAATGAGTCAACCTATTAAGATTGAGTTACCTGATGGGGTGAGTGTGTTGACTCAGGAGATGTTGTTAGGAGAGTCTGTAGTGATCCATGGTTGAGAGTTAGCAGTTGATTTAATAGTCTTTGACATGACCGACTTTGATGTGATTTTGGGCATGGATTTCCTAGGGAGATATGGAGTAGAGATTGATTGTCGGAAGAAGAAAGCGAGATTCAATCTCGATAATGGAGATAAATTTAGTTTTGGAGAGGGTCATCATTTGAGTATGATGATTAGTAGTATGAAGGCTAGAAAGATGTTGAGGAAAGGGTGTTCTGGATTTATTGCCCATGTAGTGCAGAGTGGTGATGTTCCACAGCCAGAATTTCAGAAGTTGCCGATAGTTCGGGAATTTTCAGATGTGTTTCCGGAAGACTTACCAGGTTTGCCACCGGAAAGAGAGGTTGAGTTTTGGTATTGAACTAGCACCAGGAACAGCACCAATATCTAAAGCCCCTTACCGAATGGCCCCAGTAGAGCTTCAGGAATTAAAGAAGCAACTCCAAGAGCTTTTAGATAAAGGTTTTATCCGACCGAGTCATTCTCCCTGGGGAGCTCCAATCTTGTTTGTAAAGAAGAAGGACGGATCACTACGGATGTGTATTGATTACAGAGAGCTGAATAAAGTGACAGTGAAGAATAAGTACCCGCTACCTAGGATCGACAATTTGTTTGATCAATTGAAAGGAGCAGTAGTCTTCTCCAAAATTGATTTGAGGTCAGGGTATCACCAGATAAGAGTGGCCGAGCAGGATATAGCTAAGACTGCCTTTCGTACAAGGTATGGGCATTATGAGTTTGTAGTGATGCCGTTTGGCTTGACAAATGCTCCAGCTGTTTTTATGGATTTGATGAACAGAGTATTCCATGACTGCCTAGATCAGTTTATAGTGGTGTTCATTGATGATATTTTGGTTTATTCCAAATCGAAAGAAGAGCATGAGGAACATTTAAGACTAGTGCTGCAACGGTTGAGAGAAAAGCAGTTGTATGCAAAATTTTCTAAGTGTGAGTTTTGGCTCGACCAAGTAATATTTCTGGGCCATACAGTGTCTAAGGAAGGGATTTCAGTAGATCCGAGTAAGTTGCAGGCAATCCTTGAGTGGCAGAGGCCGAAGACAGTAAAAGAGATTAGAAGTTTCCATTTTGTTGAAGGGTTCGCCCAGTTGGCGAAACCATTAACAGCGCTTATGAAACAGAAGACTCCTTTTGTATGGTCAAAAGCCTGTGAGGAATTTTTCCAAGAGTTAAAGAAGAGGTTAACGACAGCTCCAGTGTTAGTGTTACCACAGGAGGGTGTAGATTATGATATTTATACAGATGCCTATTTGCAAGGACTTGGGGCAGTGTTAATGCAGTTACTATCTTTTGAGTAACTTTCGTTAATTGGAGAGGGTGTAAGGTTTTCGGAAACAACAAATCCTATTATTTTAAATCATATAAAATCAAGTTACCAATAGAGTCCCATTTCAGAAAAGAAATAAAAATAAAAATAAGAAATGATAGTTTGTTTAAGCTCCTCCAACCTCCCAAAACTCCATTCCTCACCAACCTCTTCCAACCAAACCACTCCCGAGCCTCACTCCGAACCGAAGCCTCAGAAACTGAAGACTACGAGTAGCCCTCAGCTGAACCACTGGTCCAGAGCTCGCGCCATCCGCTCCGGCCGCAAATTGGACCGACCGGGCCACCGGTCCACCAATACAGTTGTTGAAGGGAACTCTCCTGTTCATCTTCAACTCAATGATGGGGCTTCTTTAGAGCGTGAAAAAATAAGTGACGGCCACGATGTCGTGGAGGCGGCGAAGTCCATTTACATGGTCTCTGACGGCACTGGATGGACGGCGGAACACTCCGTTAACGCTGCTTTGGGCCAATTCGAGCACTGTTTGGTTGATCGGGGATGCGCTGTAAATACACATCTCTTCTCAGGGGTATGATTGTCTTTATAATTTGTGTTAAACTTTTAAATAATGTTTATGGTTAACATGGTTTGAATATTTGTTAGTTAATTTTAATTTTCAATTTATTTTTTAATGGAGTAAACATATTTGAAATTTTGTTTGTTAGTTTAATTGCGTACTTGCTAAATTTAATGTCCATTATTCATGTACATTAATCCAATAAATTGCATCAAAATTATAATAAAAAATATGGACGTTCTTGGTCCTGTGTATGAAGATATGAGATATGTTAACGTTAATGTTGTAAATTTTGCTTTAAAGAAAAATACAAGTTCATTTTACTTAACTCATTGAGATATTATTGGTGAAATAGTGAAAATAAAATTTCAAACTTGTCAGATTGAAGATCTAGAGCAGTTAATGGAGATAGTAAAGCAAGCAGCTAAGGAAGGAGCAATGCTTGTTTACACTTTAGCTGATCCTTCCATGGCAGAGTCTGCGAAGAAGGCCTGCGAGATTTGGGGAATACCGTTCACTGACATATTGGGTCCAATTACAGAGGCAATTGCATCCCATCTTGGTGTTTCACCGTCTGGCCTTCCACGTGGAGCTCCTGGCCGGAATGTTCCTCTTAGTGAGGAGTACTTTCGACGGATTGAAGCAATTGAGTTTACCATTAAGCAAGATGATGGAGCATTGCCTCAAAACTTGAAGAAGGCTGACATTGTTCTAGTGGGTGTTTCTCGTACTGGGAAAACTCCACTATCCATTTATTTGGCACAGAAAGGATACAAAGTGGCAAACGTACCAATTGTGATGGGTGTGGACTTGCCAAAGAGTCTTTTTGAGGTTGATCCAGAAAAAGTTTTTGGTTTGACTATAAATCCATTGGTTTTGCAGACAATTAGAAAAGCAAGAGCCAAGAGTCTGGGGTTTAGTGAAGCAACAAGGAGTAATTATTCTGAGATGGATCATGTTAGGGAGGAACTGGAATTTGCCAGGAGCATTTTTGCACAGAATCCTGTTTGGCCTGTTACTGGTGAGGGGAATCGATTTTCATATCTAGTTGCTTGGCTTTGAGAAAGTTCAGTTTTCTGCTTATTGAATCTTTGTTTCATATGGTTACTTATATTTCCTATTTGTGATTGTAGAAGTGACAGGCAAAGCAATTGAAGAAACTGCTGCAGTTATACTGAGACTCTATCATGACCGGAAAAACAGGTGCTCAATGCCACGAATCGCAAAGCGCTACTAGAAAGGGTAAAATTCATGTTCTCAAAACTGCTTAAATGTGGATGTGAAATATTAGTGAGCCTATATCAGATTGTATAATAGATTGTAAATTCAATAGAAATATAGTGGAACATAGCGAAGGAGTATGCTTTATTAATTTTCTTTTCAATCACTAACATTTTATCCCTTTCCCTTTCTTATCAACAATACGGCTTTCTTGTGATTTTTATCAAGCAAAAGGATAAATTACTCAGCTAATAGTCATCAATGTTAGTAGATACTTGTTTAACTTTTTAGCAGTATGAATCTTCTGAATTATTTGGTAGAAAGTTGGTACTTGTCTATATCATCAATCATAATTAATATTTGAAGCTTCATCATCTCGATTCTAATCATTTAATTTCTAGAAAACTATCCTAGCATTTGTGTAATTGTGGGTAGTTGGTGCTTTTTCTTTACTCTGTTTCATTTGATCTTTTATCCTCTTCGTTTGTATGTGTCGATAGGTGGGGTTGGCGGGCATGTGGACAAGTAATTATTTCAAATTATTTGTTTCACTGAGTTATGAACCTATTTTTTCTTAGTTGGATTTCCTACCTCTAACTTGAGGTCTGTGACAGAAACCTTTAGATTTTCCATTGAGCTGCACCTAAAAGGTTGCCTGAATTCTGCTTGAATTTCATTCCAATAAAATGATTAGCAGTGTTGTTACATTTTATTTTTAGGTAATGCAACTGTTAGTTTTGCTCGAGGAAAACCACTCAAAGGATTGCAGTGACATTTCAATTATGTAGGGTGCTAGAACGGGTGCCTAATTAAATTTTGGTGATTAAATAAGTTGAGAAGAGCAGAAGATTGATACAGATCCACTTAGAAATATATATGTGTACCTATATTTTGGTCATGCTGGGGTCCAATTCTGTTTTCGAGTCTGTACAATATCATAATTTTGTAGCTTTGCATTTTTAAGGAAAAATTGAATTCTTAGTTTAATTTTCAGTTCGAAGACTTGTCAGGGTAGGTTTCATTGTCAAGGCTCTTGGTGTACCTATTTTGCTCAGGGTAGTAGGTTCAATAACACTGACTTGGAAATTTTTTGGTATTATGGTGCAAGTCAATGGAGTGGGCTTCTGATGTTATTGGTTGAAAATTTGATTTTAAAGATGCCATCAGGATCAGTTTTTTCAGTTCACTCATTATTGTGCTTGACTCTTTCGTTCAATGCTCCTTTAGAGCTTGAGGGAAAAACAAAAAAACAAAAAACTTTTGCATATGCCCCCCACTTTTCAGTCAAAGAAACTGGTTGAGGAAGTATAGTTATGAAATAAATAACCACTAGTCTATGATCATATTTTACTAGTTTATATGTAAATTAATTTTCTGAATGTGCACAATGGATTCAAGTATGACACATTTGTATGATTAAAAGAGACAAGTTTTGGTCCATTTCTTGAATATTGCACACTAACATCATATGCTATGGTATCAGTTTACTGATGTATTAAGAGAACTAGCAATCAATCATTGAATTGGGAATTTACTTCAAAGTTACTTCACCAACTTCCATCTTTGAGTAAACACCCAGTCTATTATATGGTCAACAAAATAACTTCTTTTATTCCTCCAAGCTATTCTAGGACTAAAAAGTTTAAAGTGCGCATGCTTGTGCGCGCGCGCACACACACACACAAATACTTTATTTCCAGAAAATCTTTTGCTTGTACTCCTTCCTTATTTTACATGAAGCCCACAAACAAAAAGGGTCCACTGAAGGTATGGAAAAGAAAAATGAAAAATAGTATAAAATAAGCAAAAGTAACTTTCTGATCCTCCAATAAGTTGTGTAAAGACTTACAAGAAAGCATCATCATGTATTGTTTTCTGATCTCTCCAATAATAATAACATTTAAATATACAAGATTCCCTTCCTTTGTCATAGTGCAGTATAACTCTGTCTTCATCTCTAAAATTTTAACAAGGGCCTTCAGAAATTGCACTCTGCTGAGCCTTTAGGCCGCGCTAGTGGAGTTGTTAGCTTTTTGCCGTCCTCAAGTATATCTTCTTTTTTCTATCTTTTTATTGTTCACTTTGCCGCTAACTTCATCGAAAGAAGACGACTCTTTATATAAAAAGGACCTCCACCTTGAACCAATCACATTCATGTCTGTCTGTCTGACTTACATTCAACTCCATTGTAAGGTCACTAGATATTCAAAATCGTCAAGTCTGCTTAGTACTAATCAAGAGTAATTTCATCCGCATTATACTTGCTCATCGAAAGGGTGAAGTATATCAGCAACATTGTCCCCATGCTCGACCTGTCATCAATTTAAGCAAAATTAATAATGTAGCAGATTAAATATCATTATAATAATTTATTTACTTTAGAGAAGTTTCATTATAGACCTACAAGGTGGCAAAAAAGAGAAGAACCCTTTTGGGATCAAGGACCCATAAAGAAGAAGAGCGCTTGAAACTGTTTCTCCTAACAGCGCATCTGCCGCTATCAGGGGTGGTGGTGATAATGTTGCCGGTAGTGATGGTGATCTGATGATGAACTTGAGGGTTGATTGGATAATCTGTGGCCACCACCGTCGGCTTTTCAGGCATGCTTGACCCTACACAATTTGTAACATTTTGTTCAATCTTTCACCAAATATGCATATAGAAAGAACGCTTTGCTACTATATTCATCACGAAGTTACCATTCATCAACAAATGGCACATGCCTCCCAACAAAGAGGGTCCACACAACCGATGGATACTCTTCAACTGTACTTCCACCAAACTAAATTACACAGAAGTTTGGTAACATTTCACTTTCACAACCACAGAATTACTAACTTCAAGTTACTCTGTATTACAAAGTGCAAATGATTATATATGCTAACAAATCTTCAACTTCCCAATAAATAACTCAATATTACTTTGAAGTTAAGAGCATTCTAGTCAAGGGCGAAAAGAGTCAGTAAACTAATTCATTAATAATTGTACTTTAAATAAGATTAAATCTCTAGCGACGTGGCGATGAGGTAGATACAGGTTGGTTATGAATATTTGTAATTTGGCATATTCAAATTGCAAACCCAACGAATATGTCCACTATTGTTCTGTAGCATCACGTTCGAAGTTGGGACCAACGGTTCCTAAAGAGTCAAACAAAACGACGAGTGGAGTTCCCAGAAACTACCAAGTTTATCACTATACTTGAAAGGTCTAAATTTGTATCTAATCACACTAGTTTCTTATAAACTCCGTCACAAGAGAGACAATATTTATTTTTCCTGGTGAATTATCCTTGACGGAATCGACAGCAACAACAAAAACGTTGATAACAACAATATAATAACTTTAATTGTCTTGAAATGGAATCTTACCTCTGGGAGATGAAGCAATTATAGTATCATTAGCATAATTATTATTGGAATTAGTTTTCTTCTCGCCACGCTGAACCCCTCTTTTGGAGTGGTTTCTCTGCAACTTTTTCCATAAATGAACTTATGTCAAAACCATCATCATCCCGTAAAGCAAGGGCTTAAAAAATCTTTTTAGAATTTTAAAATATAATTAGAAACAGAAGAAAGAGAGAGAAAGCAGATAAGAATACTTCAGAAAGACATTGGATTGCAATGACTGCAAAGCCTGTAACGTCTTATGTCAAAAAAAATCATGTCTTCAGTTTCAAGAATGCCATGATTAATTGAAAATCAAACAATAAAAATGAACAGAAAGAATTTATGCAGCACAGAATGTTTGCGTTTAACTTCCACCAAAAACAGTATAAGAAAAACAAAGAAGAAACTTACTGTGATTCTTGAATTTGCACTGATTTCTTTGTCGGCTCCCTCATTGAAGGTCTCCATGTCAACTACGAAACTATCAGATTTCTTTGCGGTACTGTACTGAAACCTGTTTAGAGTATCAGATAGCGAGGTCTTTTCTGGTACCGTGCTTTCTTCCATAACCTTGAAAGATTTTGCAGAGAGAGTCATTTATTGAGAAAATAAATGATATAAAAAAATATATATTAAAATATCAGAATCCAATAGAACAGTTAATGAGAAAATAAAAGATTTACACAATTACAAACAAAGCAACTAATATTATACTGAAAACCCAGAAAACTGATGCTCACCAACTTTGGATTGTCCGCCATTTCCATCGCTTTTCCAAGGAAAGAATAACAAAGAAAACGAGGGACAAAGAAAGTGGGTATTGAGCGTCAAAGATAGCGTACCGAATGGGGCAATTGCTATAAACAACCTGATTGGGGAAAATACTGAAGAGGTCAATAAGTCAAAACTTGAAGATTTAAACATGAATAAAGAATTATAAATGGAACACATCTCGTGAGAATTTTGTTGAGAAAAGTTAAAGAGAAAGACTTGTAAAATAAAAAAATCAATATATGCCCAAAATTCTTCAACAAGCCCACAACCAATACAATATAAACGATAAAAACGAAGAAAATTTTCATTAAAAAGGAATCAAAAACATGTTGGTAATAGTATTTTGTCATATGAAACACAGCAGATGAACTGACTTGCAACTACCTTATAATAATGTTGTATGGTTGATTTCGATGAAGAAGACGAGTCAACAACCACTGTAAGGAGGAGGAAGAAGAAAATAATAATCTGATCGCTTTGTAATTGTAAAGAAGAGAAAATAGTACTTGGAATGGAATAGCTCAGAAAACTGAGTTGTTTTATGAGCTGTGATTGTTGTTTATGTATATCATCGTAACATTAAATAGAAAAACTGAAAAAAAATTATAATCTGGAGAGTGGAAATTGCGTGGGGTGGGGACTATGGTAAGCCGCTATACCCTTCGGTTTGAAGAAATCCAAATTGTATTTTCTCTAATTAGGCCATTGAATTAATAGAAATAAGTTATAAGAATATTAATTAAAATATCATTTCAAGTTTGAAATAAATTAAATAATCATAAAATTTGAAACTCTTTACTAAATGATCGTTAGCTTAAGCGATGTAAACTTATCTATAAACTTATCGCTTAAACTATTTAATATATCTCTTAAGTGATATGTATTAAATCGTTTAAGTGATAAAATTTATGGTTATTTAATTTATTCTAAAACTTGAGAAATTTTTTAATAGTCTATCCCAATTTTGTAATATTTAAAAGTAAAATGGTTTTTAATATATATAATTCCTAAAAAATCAGCTTATTTAAGCTATATAATCCATTATAATAGTTTGGTTATTGAATGGAAAGATAGTATATATATTAGTATTGAGTATACTAGTCTTACAAAGAGGCATATAAAAAGTTAAATCCAACCCTTGAAATAAGGGAAAAAGAGAGAGAGAAAGAGGCAATCATGAATTTTAAATACTAGATTTGACTCTTTGTATGGCTCTTTGTATGATTCTTTGTAAGGCTAGTATTACTCATTAGTATTAAGGCCAATTTCGGATTCCTGTCTTTCAACTTAAATCATTTATTTTGAAGCTAAATGAGAAGATTTAGCGAGTTTAATAAATTTTATTCCTAAAAACTTTTTATGCTTTTCATAATAACTATACTCGTGTTTAGTAAATTTGATTTTAAAAGTATTGTTTCATATATCATGATAAATAAAAATACATACACTTCATTTTATAAAATGTTTCTTTAATATTATCAATTTAAAATTTAAGACCACTATTTTAAAAACAAGAAGAAAATATTCAATGGTCACTTAATTAAAACCCATTTCGTTCAATAACTAAAATACCCTTTATATTATAAATTATTTACTTTCCATAAAGATGAAAAATTAGTGTTGAAAAAGCTTTTTTTTGCTAAAAAAAAAAAAAGTTCACACTTGCTTCTTTATTTATATTCTAAAAAATATACAACATTTTTATAATTAAAAAAAGAAAAAAAAGATAAGAAATATAAATAAGACCGACAAGACTTAAGTGACTATATAAACCTTATGAGTATACATCTCAAAAAAAAAAAAAAAAAAAAAAAAAAAAAAAAAAAAATTCCAAAACAAGAGTTGACTACTTTTTAGTTTTAGATTTTTTTTCTATTTTTTTTTATTTTTTTTACTTTTTTGAATTTGTTTGGCCTTTTGTTTAAATCCATGGCAAATTATTAATTGCTATTTGTTTTTATGCAACCACATGATACACACTATTGCCAATCCAACCCTACTGTCGCTATCTTTAACAGAATTGGTCTGTCCTGTTAAATACTTTTTTCATTGAGTTTCAGAAATAACCAAGTCAGGATTTTGATTCAGCGGGGGCAAATCAAAGTTGGAGGTTGAAAAAAAAAAAAATTCAAAACTAAGAAAACTGGTGGCACAAAGATTTAACTACTTTTATAGAAGAAAGGAGGCTTTTGTTACAAATACAAAATAGAAGGGGATTAATGAATTTTCCAATATCAATGGGGGCATGAACCAGGAGGTGAAGAGTAATTTGACACTTTTTATTTCCTTCTATAGTTCGGGGAAAAAAAATGCTTTTATAGTATTGCAATGATAATGTTGATTTATACCATACAATAAGTCACTGTATTTGTGCAACTTAAAAGGCATCACTAGCCACTCATAAAGCCCCTCTTTAGTTTTGAAAGCAATTTTCTACTCATCTATTGCCTTGATTTATATTTTCATCGCACTCGCTTCTTAAATCCATCTTTGAAAATAATTTAGCACCATATAATTGCTCTAACATGTGTTGGATTGTTGAAATTAGAAATTTGCACTTCACTGTTATTTTGTTGATAACACTGTTATCAACACAAACGTCTTAGCTTCTATCGTTCATAGGCATTTACAATGCGGGATTGCATTGTGAAATATTTGATGAATTCATAAAATTAAAAAAATCATAAAAATATAAAGTGTAACTTTATTAAATCTATGCTTCTAATTTAAGAATAGTATTTTTTGGAAATTTAGATTTTCTAACTTTAAAGAGAAAAAAATATACTTTTCCACCTAAATCAGTAAGAAAATAATGTAATTTGACTAAAATAAACATTGGGATGAAAATAGTTTTTAACTTGGACTTCTTATTAAAAAAAAAAAAAAAAAGATAAAAAAAATTCACACTCTTAAAAACGACAATACCCAATTAAGGTCCCCCAAACTAGGCCGAATTCAAAGCATTATTTTAGCTTTTACAAGTCTTATTGAACATTATCACCTGCCACACCATGACCCACCAAACACTGTCCTATGGAGTGGCTTAGATTTATTGATCCCGGATAAAATAGAAAAAAAATTTGGGCTTCAATCATGAATATATGTAGTTCCCTTACACTTTGTGCATCGTAATTGCATATCAATGAGAATGCTCGAGATTGAACGAAATAGAGGCAACAATAGGAATAAAATATAATAGTAAAACAAATTAAATAGTAAATAAAGAAAATAAAACACGCGATTTACCCTGGTTCACCCAATGTGGGCTACGTCCAGCTGAGTCAATATTATTGCAATATGTCTCACCTCTCTCGTTTACAATGAATGAATTGCCCTATGATTTATTATCACACCTATACAAGAGAAAAATATGTTTATATACTAGGTTTAAGAGACTAAACCTAGTTTCATAAGGATTCCTATTCCTAAGCCAAACCCAATAAGGAATTAGTAACTTAAACGAAATCCTACAGTGGTTATACATGGAAAAACCCAAAACCGCCTACGGGCTCAGGGGTGCTGCCCTCGCGACCCCCGCCCGCTCATCGAGGAGCGAGGCACCCGCTCGCTGACCGGACAGCTGAACCCCCGAGTGCGTTTACGTTACCCATTAATGCTGAAGTAGTCGACAACTCCAACAGAGGTCACACTCTCAATTGGTTTCACTGACAACATATGGAACACGTCATCATCTATTATTGTAATAACGATTGTCATTTGCCTTTACGAAGGGTGGTTTTTTGAAATACTGTGCATGGATCTTTAGTTAGGGTAGACTTGTGATGATAAAGTATGTTAGAGCCTTCAGAAGCGGTAGGTTTATGGTAAAGTATCCAGAGCCTTAAGAAATGGTAAACTTATCCTGGGGTACGCTAGAGCCTTTGATTAGGGTGTATGCTATTTTCCTAACAATGGTAGATTGGTAGGCAAAGGCGCAAAGCCTTTGGTTAAACTATTTTTGGGTTTGAGTTCTAAAATGAGTCTTCTTGAAATTGTAATTTCGATTCAAAATCTAGATTGGGTCTCAAATGATCTTATGGAACTTCTCTCGTAAAAATGGGCATCAAGACTTGTAAATATATGTTCTTACACCAATGAACAAATCAAAATAATGCTTTAAGTGCCAATGGTAATAGGTGTAATGGTTAGTGTTGGAGTCCCACATTGACTAGGCACGCTCAAGCCTATTGGGTTATAAAAGGAGGTAATCCTCCCATTCAACAAGGCCTTATTGGGTGAGGAGTCAGACCCACCTCAAATTCTAACGTGGTATCAGAGCACAGGTTCAGTTGAGCTGAGCGTTTGACCAACGAATGAGGAGTTAGAGCCAGTAACTACCTCGAATAACAGGCATGACTCAACATATGGTATTGACTGTGAGGTGAAGTGTTAGAGTCTCACATCGGCTAGGCACGTTCAACCCTATTAGGTTATAAGAGGGGGTAATCCTTCCATTCAACAAGACCTTATTGAGTGAGGAGTCAGACCCATCTCAAATTCTAATAGTTAAAGTTTCTAATTTTCGTAAATCATTTAAAATGAAATGAGGATTTTTTGTTAATTCAAAGGGAGGATTTTTTGTTTTTGTTTTTGGGTAATATACAGGTAGATCAATCATCAACTTCTATCTTGAATAGACCAATCATCAGCCAATTTAAACTTAGCTCCTATGGTTCATTGTTAGATTTATTTATTCAAAGAGAAGATTATTATAAACTTTAGAGGTAATCATCGAACTTTACAAAATTTTGGAAGGATATTATAAAGGGTTTATTAAATCGCTGAGGCTTCCCATTATGTACTTAAATCCCCTAGGATATAAAAAATACAGCAGTATTAGTCTTACAAAGAATCCTACAAAGGAGACATACAAAGATAACATCCACCCTTCATCTTCATCATCTCTCTCTCTCTCTCTCTTTCTCTTTTTCCGTTTTTTCTTTGTTTTTTTCTTTACTTTATTAACTTTCTTTGTAGGCTTCTTTATAAGGATAGACTTATTCTAAAAAATAACCCTAAATCCCTTTGGTTTTCAAGGAAAAAAAAATTCCTAAAAAACTTTTTCTTTTTCAAAAGGACAATAAAACAAAATAAACTTGCCCAATCGCCACCACCCGTTTCCCCTCTTCCTGCCAAGTCCAACATCCACCTTCCGCATGAATCCTAGCAGCCGGCCAGCCACCCCTAACTTCCTTCCCAAAATGCATCAAAACAACAATTCAACCCAAAACACAATCACTTAAATCAACAATAACTTTACCCAAAAACAACTAGCAAAAGATTCAAAGAAAATAAGGAATCTACGCAACAAGCATGGAAATTGATGTTGGTTAGGTTTGGTTAGTGGTTGTGTCGAGCGTTGGCAACGTTGGGCCATCATGAAAATCCTTTGACGCTGGGATGTGCGTCGAGACACATAGTTCTTGATAACGATGCCCCAATGAATAGCCAACATGAATATGTATGTTGGTGTTGGGTTGCATCGACACAAAAATACACTTTTCCAATGATGTTTCTGCGACTATATATATATGTGTGTATGTGTGTGTGTTTTAATGTTT